TGTAGTTTAAATGTGTTGTTTTGGACAGTTTTTTCCCACTCCTTCTTGAAACCATAAAAAACAAAAAAGAAAACAAGAAACAAAAAAGGTATTTTAAAAAAGTATAGCTTTCTTTCACAAGGACAAGAAAACCAGAAAAGAGGGTACAGGGACAAAACTTTTATATCTCAGAAATACATGGTAATTAACTTATAGGCCAAAGAGAACTTAAATGCCTACAACAGGGAGACATCCTGAAAGCTGATTAGACTGTAGAGTTCCTGAAAGGCTTAAGAAGTGAAGGATCCACGTATCTCTGAAGGTTGCTCTGTACATAGGATTGATTGATTGAAATTCTGTTTAGGAAGCATTTAGATTTCAGTCCCCTCCCTGTCTCTCCTTCCTCCCCTCTCCCACAAACATGGGCAGAAAACTCTTCAGAGGTCAAACCAGAGGAAAATAGCACAGTTGAAGCTGAGGGTGTCATTCTGAAGGAAAGGGGATTAAATATCTCTTTCCTATACTCAGCTCTGAACAAAATAGCAGTCAACCTTTGCACAGTATACTAGACAGGAGACATCAGGCCAGCTGAAAAGAAAAGACCTACCTGTACTGATAGTCAGGGTTCTTCATATGAAATGGCTCAGCCAGAACAGCAGAGAGAGAAACCCATCAGTCAAAAGCTCATCCCATGCACACAAAGCTTCTAATTTGTTTTAAAATATAAACATATGGCAAAGGATTACCAGATATTTGAGAAAAACCTCTAATATGAGAGACCCAAAACACAAACAGAAAAAAAGGAGCAAGGCAATGAAGGGAGCAGAAGAAAACTTCAAAGAAACTGTAATTAAATGATCAGAGAGAGAATAAAATATATTAAATGTGTGAAACAAGAACAGGAGACAATAAAAAAAATTTAGGGAAAAAATTTTTAAAAATATGGTGAAATAAATGAAAACTCAAGAGAATGGATGGAAGACAAACTGAGAAAATATTTAAAAGGTAAGATGAAAAGGCAAATACAGGCTGAGTACAAGAGGTTCGATATCTGAATAACAGAAATTCCAGAAAAACTGGACAGAGAAAACACAAGGGGAAGAAATTCTTAAAGAAATAATTACTATTACTATTATTATTATTTTTGCAGAGCTGAATGCCTCAGGTGTTTAGATTAAAAGGACTACTGACTGCCCAGCACGAACATTGAGTAAAAGATCTTTATCAAGTTATATCAATTTGAAATTTTAGAATAGTAGGAACAAAGAGAAAATTCTATTAACTTCCGAAGAGAGAAACAAACAAACAAACAAAAAAAAACAGGAAAAGAATCAGAACGACATCTGATTTCTCGAGAACAACATTGAAAGTTGGGAGATAATGGGGCAATGCTTTCAAAATTCTCAGGGAAAAGGTGTGACCTTCTAGATTTCTATCCCTGGACAAACTGTTACCCAAGCGTGATGGTAGAATAAAGGCATTTGAAGGCATATGAGTTCTTGAAAATTTATTTACCATTTAGCCTTCTCAGGAAATAAGGAAGATTGTGCTCCACTCCAAAAAATGAAAAAATAAGACAGAAGATGACCTGGGAAATAAAAAGGGTGAAACAGAAGCTTCAAGAGACAGAGAAGGGAGATTCTGGAATGACAGCTCTGTGCCAGGCCTAGAGAACAACCATTCCAGATACGGCAGTAAGATGGAGCACTTCATCAAGCATTTCAATAATAAAAACTTACATATAACTTGAACTGTTCAAATGTGTTAACAATACATGTATATGTTCTGGAGATAAGTCTGGGATAAATTAATGATAGGTAAGTGAGAGGTACACAAAAAATTAAGCAGACTGAAAAGGAGAAAATTATTAGCTCTAGGGAAGCTAAGATGTATAAAAAAGGAAATATAAGAACAATGATATAATAATTGATTTAACTAGTTATGCTGTAACTGTACTTATACGGGGGCTTGTGAAATCCTTACCTTCCATTGTAGAAAGTCAATAGTTAATAATCTAAAAATTAAATCAGTAAAAAATATTAGTATAAGCATATTACTTTGAAATATGAATGTAGATACCAAAAGAAACTGCTGAAAGATTTGAAAGTGATTCCATCTGAAAAGCAGAAATGAGGATAAATGGAAAGAGGGATGGTGTTTTTTTTTAGGACTTAAGAGCTCTTTGACTTTTAAAAATATATACACATAACTTTATTATTATTTTTTTTTAGAACCCTCTATACACGGACAACGGGGAGGGATGAGCAGTCTGCAGTACATGGTGCCGCTTCCTGTCAATGGCACTGCCCTTCCTCTGAGCATAAGAGCCCCAGAGCAAGAAGACAAGGCCATTCGAATTTTGATTTAGCCAGGACACAACTGCATCAGTAAACTGCTCCCAACCTCTCTCCTTATGAGAATTGGCTTGATGAGCCCGAACTGTGAGCACAGCATTGAGTAGGAGAACACCTTGTTTGGCCCACCCAGATAAATCTCCATGGCCAGGATGAACAAAACCATCGATGTCAGTAGACAGCTCTTTATAAATGTTTTCCAAACTGGGCGGAGGTGGAACAGGTCTTTGAACACTAAAGCAGAGCCCGTGAGCTTGATTGGGTCCATGATATGGATCCTGTCCCAGGATGACAACCTTCCGGGGGCCCCGGCTTACCGAGTCAGCGGCGAGCCCCAGCAGCCCCTCGGTCAGGTGGGGGCCGCCGCCTTCCTCCCCCTCCCTGGTCCCCCCACCCCGGCCCCCGAAGCAGTCCCCTTTGCGCTTTACCGCTGCATCCCCGCTCTCCTCAGCTACGGCCGCCACGCCGGTCCCCGGGTCGGCCGGCTCGGCCGGCTCGGGGCTGCGGGCACGTCGCCTGCTGGCGGGACTCGGGGAGAAAAAGGAGTAGAGCGTCTTCTGGCCGATCATCCCGAAGCCGGGCAGGGGCGAACGCGCGCCACCCGGGAACCAGCGAGGCTGACGCTGGCTGTGGCGGTCCGAAATTCTACACATAACTTTAATAAAATTAAAATATAATTCTGCCATGAAAGTGTGTTTTAAACACAAACAGTAGTACATTCTTTCATACCTTAGTGTGCTCCTGTAAAAATATCTTACATATCATGTTATATCAGCACCATAAGCGAACTTCCTACGTTTTCATGGTCACATACTATTTCATTGAATATATATATACAGTTGTCCCCCAGTATCATGGAGGATTGGTTTCAGGGCCCCCCATGGATACCAAAATCCACGGATGCTCAAGTCCCTTACATAAAATTGTGTAGTATTTACATATATCTTATGCAATTCTCCCATATACTTTAAATCACCTCTAGATTACTTATAATACTTAATATGACATAAATGCTATGTAAATATTTTTTACTCTTTACCTAATACAATGTAAATGCTATGTAAACAGTTGCTATAATTTTTAAAATTTGAATTATTATTTTTTTGTTGTACTGTTATTTTTTATCGTTTTTTTTTTTCTGAATATTTTTGATCTGTGGTTGGTGGAATCTGTGGGTGCAGAACCTGCAGACATGGAGGGACAACTGTAATTGTTGACATGCAAATTTATGAATATGTGTATTGGGATATTATAATCCCAGAAGCAAAATTCTACGTCAAAATTTTGAGATATTTCTATATTGCCCTCCAAAGATGTTGCACCCAAACTTACAGCCTCACCAGCCATGTTTCAGGCTACTAAACTGCCCCCCACACTCATATCCAGTACTACACAAGTATTCTCTTCTCAATCTGGAATGTGAAAGGACACATTGTCATTTTGATTTAACTTGAATTTTTTTTTTTTTTTTTAAAGATGACCGGTAAGGGGATCTTAACCCTTGACTTGGTGTTGTCAGCACCACGCTCAGCCAGTGAGTGAACCGGCCATCCCTATACAGGATCTGAACCTTGGTGTTATCAGCACCGCACTCTTCTGAGTGAGCCACAGGCCGGCCCTTAACTTGAATTTTTTAAAATTTATTTTTCCAAAGACTGTCTACTCAGTCCCAATTCTAGAAATCTATTCTCATTCCGATCCCTTCTCCATTCTCTTATTTTTACTGTTCTATTTCTCATTAGCACTTGTCCTTTGCTTCCTTCACAATGGACAAAATTTATCTTTCCCAGAAAACTTTTATAATAATTTTTCTACTTTTTCTGAGCATTGTATTGTCTATTTATATGCATACAGTCACAACTATAGGTAATTCCTCAGTTTTTAAGATGTGTGCCAAAATATCGATTGTGATATAAAGAGAATTATAAATACAATATTTCACAGAATCTAAGATGCAATATTCCAAGACATATCGTTATTTCATGAGCAACTAAGAAAGTAAAAATGCTGCCAATTAAAAGAACAAACCACAATGGCTTTCTTATGGCTTAGAATTTTTATTATGCTTACTGAATATTATATGAGGGTACTTTAGAAAGTTCATGGAAAGAGAATTAAAAGATAATACTAGTTTGTCCATGAACTTTTTGAAGACCCCTCATGTAATACATATTTTTAAATCCTTTGGAAGTAAAAGTACTATGCTTTTAAAAACTGGTATGGCTATAAGAAGTTGTATAATAAGTAACGCATTTTGAAAACTGGTAAATTTGTAGGCATTATCTACAAAATACCTATATTAGTAAAACAAGGGCTGCTGTATTTTTGTCGTAATTATCTTAAGCCATTTAACCAATCAGTTCTGCGAAGCAAAATTGATACTCCATTAAGTCACATGTAAACTTTCTGAAAAGCTTTCTAGTACCAATGATCATAGATCTTTAATGTAGGAACTCCTATGATATAATTTTAGAGGCTTCATGGCTCTGTGATTTACTTAACTGCAAGGGCGTGGATGAGATCAATGTCTTTGGCATGCATTGCCACACAAGAGGGTATAAGATCAATAGAGGTTTGGTAACCCACAAAGATTTCCAAAGTTTGGAGGTGACACTTTCAGAAAAACATGACCAGTCCACAGATAAACAAAAAAAGCAAAGTACAATGTTTCTTGATTCAACTGCAGGTGTATTTATTTTAAGATAATACAAGAATGTAAGACAGGTTGCTTTACAATTATAATTTATCGTAAGAACAATAAATTGGAACTTAAGTTAAATAAATTTCTTATTGTGAAATCATTCTGAGAAGTACCATAAACTGTTTATCACACAGGCTTTTTGTAAAAAGTATACTAAAATTTTACATATACCTTAATCTTTCCAAAGAATAGTTTGCAGAAGGATGTACTGAAAATAATAGCATACGTGTATTTAATACATTATTTTTTAAACATTTAAAAATTTTTCAATTGATGTAAACAACAATCCAGTGAGATAGTTTTACCTCCCATTTTATAGATGATAAAATTCAAGAGTAATAATATGAAGTGAATCACCATACTTTACCACTTTTCCATTTTAATTGATCAGAATACTTTATTTATTCCCATTCTTATATAATGCCATATAAACAGATATGCAATCACTCACTCTGATAGGAAATAAAGAAGACTGCTATGTAGTACGCCATTCTTCCTTGGGAGAAGCAGAATTATGAAAGATTTTAATAAGCTAATTAAATTTTTAATCTGTACTTACAGGATTTTACATGTATGCAAGATAAAATAACTTATCGTCAAAGATTAAAGTATACTGCATTTTTTCCAGTTATTTTAGATATCGAATAATATTGAGAACATTTAGTGTAAAGTAAAATAGACCTGGGGCATGTTAAATGAGCGGGTACGTATTTTTTTCTAGTCAATCGAGTCAACCTTCAAAGCAGGTGAAATTAGGTTATTATACTATATGGGATCTTTAAATTTATGAATTATATATTTATATATTAATGTAATAAATAATATCAGACAAAGAATGTAAAAAGTTTAACAAATACAAAATCAATGTTAATAATAACATTTTCTTGGAAATAGCATTACTTTTATAAATAAATGATGCAGATCAATTGCACATTTAATAACATAAAAACAAAGTCAGTGTTTTCTATTTTCATATGCAAAAGCGAGGTAATGGTTGAAGTGTATATAATTTACATTGAATATGTCTTAGAAAGGAAGATAAATGAACTTATCTTCCACATGCAATATATAAACATATTAATTTAAATTCATTATTCTATTTTTGTATTCTATCCTTGTATAAACTAGCTTTTAATTGAACAAATTTCTATTACGTGCTATTAAATTATTTCTCAATGTGAAAATCTAATTTTGTAGTTTTTCAATAGGAAGTTTTTATTTTCCCTTTAAGACATATTATCTTGAAATAATAAATTATATTTATCTTTATTACTGATGCTTAGCACTTTTGCATGTGGTCCTTTTGCAAGAAACAAAATATTAGCTTCTACCTAATATATACATCAGTCTTCTAAGTCATTATTATTAGTAGTATTTCATAACAATTATTTTGATGCTACGGACATTTATTAACAATATGCATTAAGTTACAGAACTGTAAGATATGATTTTTACTACTGTTATTAACATATACCACCTGCAATCTGGAGCAGCATCGTGTGTAAGACGATAATGACAATGACAATGACTATTGTTACAACTACCACTGTTTCTACCATCAATATACAACTTTTTTTTGAAGAAAAAGAATCCACACATTAAATTTCTTTACTGTATATAAAAAAGAATACCAGACATTCTGTTGACTTTGGTAAATAAATTAAAATTTAAAAACTTCATATAAGTCAAACAATATGTTAATTAAGTACTTTTAAAAGTTAAAAGTACAATGTAAACCATCATATTATATAATATGTTAACTTCTATTTTTCAAAATTATTTCAGTATAATTAAAAACATGGTAAATAATAGGGATTTACGAACAATACTAAAGGTCCTAAGATAATATAAATCTCAAGCAATATTCATTTTCTGAAAAGAAGTTCACAGTCCAAAACCAAAAAATAAAAATGTCTTGTTCATTTTTAGGTGATCCACATTCCAGGAGTCATTAATTATTTTAAAATGAGGCTAATTTCTAATAAATAAATACGAATATTTAAAATACATTCTTATATAGTCACTGGAAGTATCTATATACTTCTGAAGGGAATGAAAAAGTGCAGACAGTTCAGTAGATGAAGGCAAAAACTCATCTTGATTATATATAATGTTTTCAGTAAAAAGATGCATTTATCTGTTTTAAGAATTCAGTTCAAGAAAAAAATACAAATTTCACAGCACTTCACCTTTTTCTTCATTTTCTATATATTCTCATCACAGATATGCTTCCATTCTCTGAAATGTTTGTTTCTTGCATTTGTCACATAGATTGTAATTCTTTAAACTTTGCTTTAGGAGTATCTAATTTAAAAAACATACAATGATAACACAAAAGCAATATTTATTTAGGATATAAATCAGATGTGATGGCATTAACCAAATATTCTTATGACAATATAAAACTGTAAGGAAACCAATAAAACAACCCCACATAAAATGTAAGAAACAAAAACTTAAATTAGTCACAAAATATTTCCTTTAAAAGTTCAGTGATTTGTTTAGTAATTTGTCTAATTCTCAGTCTTAGAAAGAAAGTAGAAAAAAAGTAGTCATTTCTATCTATGGTTCTATACGGTATTACACAGAATCAATAATGTCAGTGTGACACTATTACAAGTTGGTCAGGAATGCTACCTATATGTACAAATAAATGGAATGGTCCTACTTTTTTTTTTAATGTTTAAATTCTCATAGGGCAGTGTAAATTTCCTTAAAATAGACATTAGGAAGACTTGACTTCTTTTGTTAACTTAATCACAACAGTTGCCACCTTAGATAAATAAATAAGCCGACTTGCCTCTAAACATTTTAAACCAGTATTTCCCAAAGTGGATTCCACAAAATACTATATCTCAAAGCTACTTTGCAAAATGCTGAATACTGCTGTTTCCTTTTAGAAAGACAAAATGAATAGTAGCATTTTCAGGTCTGATAGATTATATCAGATTTTTATTAGGATATTTCTCAAACATGCCTAAGCAACTTTTTAAAAGAAAAATATGCATCACTATCCTGAGGACACTTTGGGAAACACTACTATAGACATGTATAAATGTTCCAAGGTTGAGAAAAATAGCAAGAAATATATACATAAATATACTTGCATGTGTTTATAAATAAACAACAAAACTCCAATAGTAGAAATCTAACTAATCAGAACCCACAATCATTATAGCTACAGTTGACTTTTAAAAGAACAAAGGGGAAAAAAAAATCCCTCATTTTGGAGATTAGCAACAAGTTTGAAATATCTCTTTGGGGCAATACAAAGGGCATGGATCTCCTGTACCTTCCTCAAATACTGCATTCTGTGGTGACAGTGCAGTACTAATAAATAAGATGGTTTTGCCATCAGACAGAACAAAGCTCAAATCCTGGTTTGCCACTTACTAGCAACTTATCTTGGGCAAGTTACTTGCTAAATCTTGATTTTCTCTGCTTTAAATGGGATATCTATCTGTGAGAATTAAATGAGAAACTACATGTGGAAGAACATTTAGGATAGTGTCAGGCACCTAAAAAAACTCTAAAAATATTAGATACTACTTTTGTAGCAGATGTTCAGAATCGTAATCCTAAAAATCCGTAGCAAATACTCTTTAGGTGCTAATGATCTTCGATCACAAAAGTCCAATTTGGATGCACTACATTATACCTGCACAGGTACAAAACTGGAGGTTTAACATAAAATTTTTCAGTCAAGACACTCTAATGGCCTAAAAATTAAAAATAAGTTAGAAATTATAATTCTATTTCTTTCATCTTTTTTCTAAGTGTTATAACAGAAAAATAAGTTATAACCCTTCCTTTACTGGTATTGAACAAATTTAGACAAACAGAAAGTAACATACTTATCTGCTGTGAAGTTCTTTCTTCAGGCATGATTTGAAAGTGGGATACTTCTGGACTGTTTTATAACCCTGTGGAACAGAGGATCAAAAGTGTGCAAATGTATGGAAAGACAAACATAACATGATTTCATTTATATGTGGAATCCAAAAAAGTCAGACTTACAGAAGTACAGAGTAGCCTGGTGGTTACCACAGAAGAGAAAGGTGGGTGGTGGGAAGGTGGGAAAATGGGAAAAAGTTGACCAAAGGGTACAAAATTCCAGTTATACATGAAGAATAAGTTTTCAAGATCTATCACACATCAAGGTGACCACAGTAAATAGTCATGTATTGCATATTTCAAAATTGCTAAAAAAAAAAAAAAAAGATTTAAAATGTCCTCACTACAAAAAAATAAGTATGTGAGGTGATGGCTATATTAATTAGCTTGATATAATCATTTCACAATGTTTACACACATCGAAAAATCGCATTGTACCCCATAAATATACACAATTATTATCTGTCAATTAAAAATAAAGTTTTGAAGAAGTGTGCAAATGTAAATAAAATGGTATGGGGCCATAGGTATGCAATACATGAATAAATAAATAAAAACACACATCACCTGAGAGCAATACAGTGTCAGAGGTTTATGGCATAGTTTAATTTGATCATGCTACTGTAAGATTTTTGAGGAAGAATAAATGCTTTTTTCAATGTATATCCTTTGAGGTATTTGTGGCATCATCTAAAATGGTAACTCACCACTAGGTGGCAGTTAAGTACATAGCATCTATACCAAGACAGTTTGGATAGTCTTCAAAATTTTTGAAAAATATGGTCTAAGATGAACCTTAATTTTGTGTATATATAACATTTTCTCTTTTTAAATGTTTAATACTTAAGAATATTTTTGCCAAAGAGGGAAGTCTGAATATTCTAGCTGTTAATTTTAATAAAAACATTTTTTTCCATTTGTGGCACATCCACAAATATATTAGATGTGTAAACATTTACTGACTCATGCTATATTTCAATCTTTATGACATATTTCTTAGAAAAAAAATCATTGAATTTCCAGTAATTCCTTTTTTGTATAAGATGTCAACAGGAAAAAATTTGACAAAAAACCCCCAAACCATTCTTAAGTTATTTTCCATGAAAAAATTACTGAATATGCAGTGACTTAAGAGCTGTAAGTTACCTAGAGGAAATCTGTCTCACATAAAATGAGAAACAGCGATATCTGTATACCGACAAGTCTGAAAAACCAATGTGCAGACTGAGTTTTTCAAAAATATTTGGCAACATTTTTTTGCCACCAACTGGGATAGAGACATTAAACTAATAAGAATATAAAAATAAGTTATTAAAAGTCAACCGATAATATATATTTTTACAAAGCATTATCTTTTGTCATCTCAAATTGCTTCTCAAAGTAGGGCCTATGTTCTTTCTTTTAAAATAACGCATTTCATGTTTACACCCTGAGAAATTTATATAAATTGTTTCTCAAATTAGATTTTTTTTCCCTCATATTTTAAAAAGTGTTTCATTAGGCTTGAAATTTGTAGGTTTACCCGGAATCCTCTATGGAGTCTGTCTTTCATAATTCCAATAAATTCTTTATAACTTAATTGATCGTCTTTGTCAACATCAAATATCTTGAAGACAGTGTTCACCAAATGTGGTGAAAGTTTGAGTCCAGTAGCTACATAGACTGCACGTTTAAATTCATCTAGAAAATGTCACAGAAAAAGAAAAAGAGTAGACCATTAACATTATAATATGTGTTAATTGCTAGAAAGGTTATAAAAGAAGTTTTTTTTTTCTAAACATTGGTCATGATCTTATGTAACACATGACTTTTCATTAATCATGCTGTCTTTTAGAGAATAAATTTTTTTTATGGTTTTAATGAACAGAAGCAAGCAGCAGCTATATCTTAGGTTAATAATGCATTCATAATCAATGATGTTTAATGAACACCTACTATCAGTGACAGATAATTTAGAGGTTATTAAGATGAGTAAATTCTCAAGAAACATATAGTTCAGATGCGAGAGGAGACACCTACCCAAATAACCATTACACAGGGCCACACAAAATGTATCAACAAAGTGCTATGAGAATTTGGAGATGAGTGTACTTCTGTCTGCAGGATGGAGTACGGAGAGGAGAGAGGGCAGCGATTAGGAAAGGCTGTGATTCTGTATTTGAGCTGAGCCTTGAAGGATGGATGATTTTAGCTCGTAGAGATGAGAGAAATGGCAGACGAGATAACGTGAATGAATCAAGGCACGGGGAGACGCAGGAGAGTATAAAGCCCGTTCAGAAACAATGAACGGTCTGCTTTGGGTAGTGTACAGGGGACATGTACAATCTAGAGAGGCTCTGCACAGGGACTTTGAGGGGAGGAACCTGTACATTCTTCAATAGGTAATTGGGAAACTTAGGAGTTTTCCCCTGCAAGTGTGTCATAGAAAGGTTAATTTGTGTTTTAGAAAGATTATTCTGTGAGTTGCCTAGGAAACATTGGAGAGGAAGTACCTAGTGGTAGAAATGCCACTTAGGTGGCTACTGCAATAGTCCTTTTAAGAGGTAATAATCTGAATTAAGAATGCTAGTAGTGGCAAAAGAAGAGAGATGAATACATTCCTGGCATCTGCAAGGGTGACATATGTATTTTTCTTAATTTCCCAGTTCCTCAAAGTTAAAGAGCAACTTTCCATACTGAACCAAGCAAGTAGATATCAGTTTTTTTTTTTAAAGGTTGATCAGGTTTATCACGGTAGTAAATGTTGGTCAGTGAAGTCAGAGCTCTCAAAGGTTTTGTTTTTAAAACAATCAAATGGGTTAAGAAGAAGCCATATTTAAACATTTAGACTAGAGAAAGGGTGAAATATGAATTCTTTCAGGTTTGCCTTACTCAACAAATAAATCAATGAGGCCATATAAGAGATTTAATATCTATGTTTTCGGGAGAGAGAGAATTGTCATTAGCACTTATAGGGCTGCAGTTTGGCTTCTCTCTAGAACTTGGAAAAAAAAAAAAGACAGTCCTCTGAGATTTAAGTGTGGGATTATGGCAGAGACAGGTAAAATCACCTTAAACATATAAATGAACAGTCTCCATATTGCAAGAGTTTTTTAAAAAGATATGACTATAAGAAGAGGGAAGGTGATCAGAGCCACAGAATACTAGAAAATGGACCTGGCTTGTTAGCCCACATACTGGGAAAGAATGAACTGGTCCTGAGGACAACAGCATTCCAAATTCTGTGACAGTTGTATTTCTTTGTAAATTAAGCAAAATTGATATTCAATTTTACACATTATTCTTAAAAGTTGGTTAATATAAGTCCATGGCTAAGTGGTGGCTCTGCTGACAAAATTCTGGTTTCTGAACCAGCAGGGATTAAATCAGTAAAATAAATACCATCTTGTGAGAATGTTTGGGGGATGGCCAGCTGGCTCTTGCATAGGTAGACACATGTCCCTCAATGTTACCAACCAGACGTGAGGTTTCTTCTTCAAACTTTTAAAACATCATTAAATTTCCCTCAATAAGAAATTAAGGGAAAAAAAAAAAAAAGAAATTCAATGCAAAAATGCAGCACATTTCCCTAAACTTTGTTTAGTTTTAAGTGTTAGAACCGATTTCCCACTGAAAGTATACACCAGAGTTTCAGGCAAGTTGATGAATGATATCACATATCTAATTAAGTTGTCACTGAAGTCTCTAGAAACAATGTAGGATTATATTTTGCTTTTAATTTTTGAAAAATGATTACTTACCTTGCCCTATAGAACGACTTGCAAAGTTATACATATTCAGGGCTATTGCAAAGTCTTCTAGGTTGTTCAGAAACTGGAAAAATGACCTGAATTCATCAAATGTGATACCCTATATTTGGAAAATAAATGTAAACATATTTAGTAAAATAAGTATCTACATTTAATAGAAGTAAACAGATTAAGCATCTGCAATATATCTTATAAGTAAATATTTCCAGGGCACATTTTGAAAACTTCATTCTCCAAATGGAATGTAAAATTCACTCAGGTTTTCTGGGTAGTGTTGCTACCATTACAATAATACGTGAAAATATTTTTTAAACATTGTCATATCAGTACAAAGTTCCAAAAAATGCTACAATAAAAATGAATTTAAAAATTTCAACATTGAAAATTCTCTGTTTTAGGTCTGAATTTTTTTAACCCTGAAAGTAAATATGATGATTAAGAAAACAAAAACATTAAGAAGTTTCCCCTGCACATATACTCCTTAAAAATGATTCAGCATTAGATCATTAATGCTTTTAAAATGACAATGCAAAATCAAAACGTTGACTAAGCATCAACAGTAGTGTATTTGTACTTATTCCTGTCATGATAACACTGCCAGGACAGCAGAAGGAAATACAATGACCGTACAGATACAGCTGCGGGAGGCCCCAGACAGGGCGTGGTGAGGGATCATGTACAGGACTGGTGGTCAGAGAGGCCTCTTCTGGAATGCCATGTGCAAAAACTGCAATTATTACCACTGCTATTACTTCAATTAAATAGGAAACTTATTTGAAATAAGCACAATATACTTCAGAGAATACAAATTTGGACACAAGGAGCTGCATTTAGTTAATGTGTTCTCGTCAACAAAATTAACAGAATTGAGATAGTACAAAGAGAAAAGAGCAGAGGGCCAAGATCTTACTTAGGCTTAACAAATTCTGACTTTAACGTGGGGGTAAAAGAGGAAGGGATACTAACTAGGCGGTGTTGGAAAGGTAGGGAATGAACCAGAGGAGTCTATTTTCATATAAGATGACTACTTGATTATTTTATTCTAGTTTATTATAATTAATTAAAATAAAATTATAATTTTAGTTTAGTTTATTACTCAAGTACACGATTTTTGGCATATATATTATTTCCACTTCAATTACAACCCATCTTTTACTTGTAACATAAGAATCCTCACTGTCTTTTTTCTTTACATTTTCCTCTTGTCTTTCCCTCACATTCATTTATGGCCACTCCAATACAGGTTCCTATTTTGTGACTCAATCCTACCTGCCATGTTTTCTAGAGAGGGCTTTTTGAATCAGTTAGGATTCAAGTCTGCACCAGGTCTGTCTTAATATGGAGAGCTTGTTGCCAGGGCAACTGGTCACTGCTCTGGTTCTATATCTGTTTATGCTGTGACCAGCTGCCATAGCAACAGTCTCTGTCTCAGGGTGACAGGTTACTGCTGGTAAAAGTAAAAAACAGGAGGATGGAATATTTTTAAGCAAAGGGCAAACAAAAATATCAATACCTTTGGGGAGCATAAAATTAAGAAACAAATCAAAATATACAAGAATACAACTTTCAACATCTGAACCTTCATTTAGATTTTTCAAAATACGGTCCTTAAGCTTGAAAATGTAGGTCAAATTCAAAACCACACAACCATTCTTTTGTACATATTAAACACTTTGTGTTTGAAAATATGAAATTGTAAAATAAAAAATGGGATGTCTATTTTGATGGAGATAATTGAAAGCAATCATTCTTAGCAGTGACAGACTGTCAGTCTGGGGGAGGGCACGAAGAAGGGGGGTGGCCATTTCTTCTCCCTCTCATTCTCACCCCCAGACTTGCTACTGTAATGAACCACTGGGACTTGAATGGAATGTGTCCTGTTAGAAGTAAGGTAAAAAAGAAATAGCTTATTAAAAATAAATGATAATAAGTAAAAAATTTAAATCATCAAAAATTCGTGCACTGAGAGTACAGAAATAAACCCAAATATGGTCAATTAATCTTCAATAAGGGCATCAATACCATTTATTGGGGAAAGAACTGTCTCTTCAACAAATGGTACTGGGACAACTAGATATCCACATGCAAAAGAAAAAAGTTGTGCCCTTACTTCACATCATTTATATATATTCACTCAAAATGGACCAAAGACCTAAATTTGATAGCCAAAACTAAAAAAACTCTTAAAAAACAAACAAACAGAGACAGAACTTCATGACACTGGAATTGGCAATGACTTCTTAAGTATGACACCAAAACACAAGAAACAACAATGAAAAATAGATGAATTTGACTTCATCAAAATTAAAACCTTGTGTGCACAGAAGGAAACTTAGAAAGTGAAAAGATAACTCACAGAATGGGAGAAAATATTTGCAATCATATATCTGATAAAGGTCTAGTATCCACAATATGTAAAGAACTCTTACAAATCAATAACAAAAAGACAATCAAAAAATGGCCAAAGGACTTGAATAGACATTTCTCCAAAGAAGATATATAATGAACAACAAGCACATGAAATGATGCTGAACATAATTACTCTTTGGGGAAATGCAGAAACCACAATGAGATACCACTTTACACCACTAGGATGACTAAATCAAAAAGACAGACAATAATGAGTGTTAATGAGGATATAGAGAAACACAGAAAATAACATATCACCTAGCAATTCCACTTCAAGGTATATACTCAAAAGAAGTGAAAAGTGGTACTCAAATACATGTATACACATATATTCACAGCATCACTATTCATGATAATCCAGATGTCTATGGATAGATGAATGGCTAAACAAATTGTGGTATATAAATACAATGGATTATTATTTAGCCATTGCAAGGAGTAAAGTACTAATACATGTGACAATATGGAGTAAGCAGAAGATATAAACTCTGAAATTTTACTGGCTGCAGGACCTAAAGTAAGTCACTTCAATCTTTCTGAACACTGGTTTTCTCAAAGTTTAATAATGATAATTATACTACCTTCTTATTAGTATTTACATTATGTGGTTATTATGAGAAGCCATCTTCCCTTCCCTTCTGGTCTCTATCTACTTTCTCTCCCTAGATAAGTTCACTTAGTCCCATGGCATTTTAAAACACTTAAAATTATTTATTTTACATGGCAATGTATTCAATGTTCAATGTATTCAAAAGGTACAAAAGACTGTACAACAACACAAAGTCTCCTTCCTTCCCTGTTGCTTAGCCATGTAGTTCCTTTCCTTAGAGGAACCAATGTTTCTAATTCTGTGGGTCCTTCCAGAGTTAGCACAGGCTGTCTTTTCATACAAATGGTGGTACACTATACACACCGTTCCAAACCAGGCTCTTTTCTTTTTTTTTTTCCTTTTTGTCTTTTTTTTTCGTGACCGGTAACGGGATCGCAACCCTCAGTGTCGCGTCCGTACCGCGACCGGCAACGGGATCGCAACCCTCGGTGTCACGCCCGCACCGCGCTCAACCAGTGAGCGGACCGGTCTCTACATGGGATCCGAACCCTCGGCGGGAGCGCCGCCACCGCGCTCCCAAGCGCCGCACTCTACTGAGTGCGCCACCGGGCCGGCCCAGGCTCTTTTCAATTACTATATCTTGGAGGTCATTCTATATTAGTATATAAAGAATTTTCTTGGTCTTTTTTTCACCTGCACCTTATTCCATTCTATAGATGTATCATAGTATATTTAACCAGTGACTTATTAAAAGACATTTAGGTGGTTTCTAATCTTTTTCTATTACAAACAACACTATAATGAACAAGCTCGTACATCTGCCATTTCATCACAAGTGAATATATCTGTAGGTAAAATTCATAAAAATATAGTTCTACATTTTTAAATACCATGTATCCACCATTCAACAGGAGTTTTAAGTGCTGTGTATATATGAGTCACTAAAAAAAGACAAAAATACCAGCCCTCCTGCAGCTTACATTTTAGTTGAGGGAAACAGACAAATAATAAAAATAAGTAAATTCTATTGCTTTTCTAGTTAAACAATGAAAATTTTATAGTATGTATATAAATAAGCAAATTATACAGCATGTGAGGAAATGATAATGCTATGGAAATAAAAAAAGATTAAGGTAAGAAGGAACAGGGTATTCCAGGGGGGTATAATTTATATAATAGGTGATATATTATTAATATAATAGGTTGTTATTTATATATTAGATTGAAAAGGGTAGGCATCATTGAGAAATAACATAGTGATCCATGTGGATATTAGGGGAAGAGCATTCTGTTAAGGGAAGAGAACATTACAAAAGCTCCCAGACAGAAGACTGCCTGGTATTTGAGAAACTAAGGAGTTTCTGTGGCTGGAGCAAAGTGCGCAAGGAGGTTCAGAATGGTAGGAAGTGAGGTGAGAGGTAATGAAGGAGCAGCTCACGTAGGATCCACTCTAAGGATTTTGGCTTTTACTTTGAGAAGAATGGAGATCTTACTTTGGTAAGATGCTTTCCATGTTGTGGTAAGATGCTTTACATCATGGTGTAGCGCATTTTCTTAAATGCTAAATGCAGAACAGATTGCAGGGAGGCAAAGTCGGAAGCAGAGAGATGATTTAGGAGACAACTGTGGAAATCCAGGCAAGAGAGAATTGTTACTTGGGTGGTAGCGGTGGAGGCTTGGCAAGAAGTGGTCAAACTCTGATAGAAACAGTATCAATAAGGATTTGTTGATGGATAGTATGTAGAAGGTAAGAAGGAGTCCAAAATTTTGGCCATAGCAATTAGGAAGAATGGAGTTTCCAAGAACTGAAATAGGAAAGACGGTATGTGGAACAAGTTTTATGGGAATGTTCAGTTCAGTTTTGCAAGTGGAAATGCTGAGTAGGGAGTAAGATTTTTGTAAAAGTCTGAAAGTCAGGGGAGGTGTTTAAACTAGAGACACAATCTGGAAGTCTGTATACTAATCAGTAGTCTTGACTGCACGCTTGAATGCTAGACTCACATATCCAACCGCCTGCTTAATATCTTCACTTAGGTATCTAGTAGGATTCTCAAACTTAATTTGTTCCTAATAAAACTCGATTCCCTCTTTAATCACAAATTCATAATCTTGCCTAGCTCAGTAAATGGCACCATTGTTTCACCTTGTGGTTCAGGCCAAAACCCTAGGAGTTATTCTTAATTCCTCTTTTTCCTTTATGTTGAAATATAATCTATGAACAATTTCTATCAGCTCTACTTTTTACATGGTCCAATATCTGACCCCTCTTCCCTACTTTTATCCTGGTCCAAGCAATGCTTCTCTCTTACCTGGACTCCTATAACAGCATCTGAACTTGTCTCTTTCATATCTGGGCCAACTAAAGTATATTCTGTTATGCAGTAGCCAAGGTGACCTTCTGAAACACGAATCATATCATATCTGGCACATGAATCAGACAACATCTGAGTGTTGTAGCAGACGGCCCGTACTTATTGAGTAAATACTTACTGAATGAATGAACATCATGCCTATGCTCTAAAGTAAGGTTGACAAAGTTTTTCTGTAAAGGGCCAGAGAGTAAATATTTTCATTTTTGCTGGCTACATGGTCTGCTGCAACTATTCAACTTTACCATTATGGTGCAAAAGCAGCCACAGACAATACATTAAATGAATGAGCCTGGCTGTTCCAATAAAATTTATTTTCAAAAATAGAAAGTGGGGTAGTTTGCTGACTCCTGCTATAAAGTTTAAACACTATAGTGGCCTCCCATCTTATGGCCACTATTACAATAAAACTAAACTCCTTACCCTGGCCTACAGGGTCCTAAAAGACCTGACCCTCTCTCCCTCCTCATCTCCTACTACATTCCCGTTCACTTACTTTGCTTTTTGGCTTTTTCTCAAATAAACTAAGCTTTTTCTGTCCCCAGGTCCTTGGTATTTGCTGTCACCTCTGCCTGGAATGCTCTTTATCCAGATCTTTTGTATAACTGATTCTTCACAGTCTCTCTTCAAAAGCTACCTCTTCAGAAAAGCTCACCCCCGCAGTCCACCTTCTTTTCCAGTCCCATGACTCTTGTCCCCTTCATAACATTTGTCATTATCTGAAAGTATATCTTTTTTGTTGATGCTTACTTGTTTATTTTGTTTGTCCACTAAGATATATTTCCATGAGAGAATTTTGCTTATCTCGTCACTTTATCCCCAGTGGCTAGAATAAGGCCTACTAAATAGTAAATGCTTATACATATCTGCTAGATAAACGAATTAAAATTAAAGTATTTTAGCAATGTAAAGTGCTACTCAAATAACAGGAATTGATGGCTGGCTGGTTAGTTCAGTTAGTTAGAGCGAGGTGCTGATAACACCAAGGTCCAGGTTTCGATCCCTGTATTGGCCAGCTGCCAAAAAAAAAAAAAAAAAAAAAAAAAAAAAAAAAAAAAAAAAGGAAAGAAAAAGGAAAAAACAAACTGTAGTAGTTGTTATTCTTTTGGAGGAAAGGCAATGAGAAGTGGCAGGAAGAGAAAGACATAAGTAGGGTGCGGTAGAACTATGATTGGAAAACCCTGGGTTTGAATCCTCGGACAAGTATCTAAGTACCTGAAAGCCTAGCTTTCCTTTTTCCAAAGAAAGATGTCCATATTGGAAGGTTGTTCTGAGGACTAATGAGGTAATACAGAAAAACAATGAATGAGAATCAATCAATGTTGGTTCACTTGTAAAATTTTCCTTTTCTACTGTAATGATTGGTAGTGCTTAAGATGCTTACTTCAATTAGAACTCTTCAGAAGCTAAACTCAGTTTTTAAAAATCTTCTTATTTTGAAATGATTTTAAGTATAAAAAATAGTTGCAAAAACAGCGTGAAGATTTCCTATAAACTCTTCACCCTGGAATTTAACTTTTTGAGTTACAGAGTTTAACATTTCCATTTAATAATAATAAAAAAATCAAAACAAAAACACCACAGATTCAAGGCCCTAAATAATATGCTAGTATCTTAATAAAGTAGTACAATCTCCAAGATTTACTTTTAGGGAAGTACCTATTAGAAAAACTCAGTTTAACATTAAAACACATAAAAGGCCTCTGATTAAGAGACAATGTTAACTAATGGCCAAATGTAGCAAGTCCTTTTTTCTCATTCCTTAGAGAAACTAGAGAATTGTTACATTGTCACCGTGTATCCATTTTAAACAAAGTCAAACAATTTGCAAGTTTTTCTTGGTCAGATTAACTTGATCCTTCTATAAACACAAATAGAAGGCAATATATCCAAAACATCCCATGCTTGAAGGGGTACTTGTAATGCCAGTTCTATTTGGTTGCAATGATGCATTCAAATACCACTAGATAATGCAACTGCTCAGAAGTGCTGACAACACATTTGTTACTAAATAAATAGACAATCCGTTGTCCCAGGTTCTTAACCATTCATGCCATCCAAACTCTGAAAAACCTCACTTCAACTGCTGATAAGATCATTCACTCATCAATGGCAGTCTTCAAATGACCCTTTATTAAGGGTGTTATAGAAAAGAATAGAGTGTGACAGAAATGATGTCAATATAAACTGTTTTAGATGAGGTGATGTTTATGTAGTAGTCAAAGCATAAAGTTCAGCAGGATTCTCTTGAAAGATGATATTCTTAATTTGAATAAGACAACTGCTAATAGCCTTAAGGGTTTCCAGCATACCTAAGAAAGATATCTACCCAGAATTTAAAATAAATTAATTTTTAAATATTCAGCCAGAGCACTTAGGATACAGAAAAAAAAAAAAAAAAAAAAAAAAAAAAGAAAAAGAAAAAGAAAAAAAAAAGTATCCAAAATATCTTTTAGTCCATAGAGCAAAAGAACTAACAAAAGGGCAATATATTTTACAGACCTATATAATTACAAGGTAATAACATATATATAACAAAATAAATATGGGAGATTAGATACCTTTTCTTCAGGTATACTGTAACGTACATTTTCCAAAAACACTGATGTATTTTCCACATTTGTATATCGTAAAAGAATATGAGCAAAGTCTTCTTCACTGATAGTATTCATTCCATTAGAGTAGGAAAGGAATTCTATTTCTAAAACTTCTGTTTGGAGGTTATCCATGAACCTATGGCAAGAAGGTAATAAAGAATGAACAAGATAAATAAGGAGTAATGCTAACAGAAATGATCAAATATTCACTGTCGTAGAAAAAGTTATATGGAAATAATTTAATTACGTGATTACCCAAAGCTTCATAAAATTCTACTCTATAAATGGAAAGAAAAGAGCGCAGGTTATGAGAGGCTTTACCACTTACTGACTGTAGCACCCAGGGCAAAGAACAGCTTCACAGGGGCTAAGTTTCCTCATCTATAAAATGGGGATAACAAAAGTACTTTGCAGAGTAGCAATGATACTTAAATTGCTTGTTATTATTATCATAGCTTATTGAGACTAAGAAATTGGCAACAGATTTTCTTCTGAATATACAGGAGATAACAATCCAGATATTCAGGCATTTTTTATCATTCACTAAATTCCTGTCATAATTATTGATGAAACCACTGGTATGTAGGTACTGATGGAAGTAAGATATTTATTATATAGAGTATCTTCAGTTAAGATGAAAGTAGCAAAGAGGTTTAGCACACTAACAATTTCAATAAAGATATATAATTAGGCTCACCTATAAAAATCTTCAAAGTTGAGTTCAGCTTTTCCTTTCTTTCCAAAAAAGTGTACAAGAAGTGTAGTATCTGCTACTAAACTTGTGATGTCATCAGCACGCTTAAAAAAATCATAATTTAAAAGTTAGCTGCAGTAAAAGAAACAGAATAGGGATACCTAATATCCCTCAAAAAATTTTATCAACTTTTAAGTATCAAGAATGTAAATATATTAACATTAGAATGAAAAACACAGGCTATATTAAATAAATGAAATTGCAGTTGAAACGAAGCTCAAATTTTGAATATATAAATTTAAAAGAAACTGATCTTTACCAAAAAATTTTAAAGACATGAGAATTTTTTAAAAGTTTTCAACCCTGATTTATGCACATGGGGTATCTATAACTTAAATTATGAAAAATAGTTGAAATCCTTTAGTAATAATCTAAATATTCTATTTTTATTTAAGTAATCCAGTTTAGATTTTCCTAATTAACCCGAAAAACTCATTTATTTAGGATGTTCAAAGAGGTAAATTCTCCAGATGTAATGAACAGATGGAGCTGACACAGAATGGCCTCAAGCTTCCTTCAGCCATGATACTTTTCTATTATATTCCATAGCTACAGCACTTTAAATAGACGATACTATATTTTGAAAGAGAAACTATAGTAATAACATTACCTTGGAATTTACATTATATATGATTTTTTCAAAGAAAAGTCTTACATAATTTTTTGAATGGATAAGAAATTAATTCCAAGGGATTTTCCCTCTCCCACTCAACTTGATAAACTAAGTTCCAACAACCATATTCTTAAAACTGCTTGATTATAGTCCTCATAAAGTGTGATGTCCTATGAGAATCTTCCCTTTTTCCTTTAATGTAGCTTTACAGGTCCTCCTTTTTCTTCCCTTCCTTCCTTCTTCACATGGCCATTAACTCAGACCTAATTTATAAACTCGGGTACAAAAATAACTCTCCTATACACATCATCCTAGGAAATGTAAAAAAAAAATAAGAGGTTAAACAATACCATCTATTAAGAAAGAAAGCTGTAGAGGTCCACTAAAGGTACAGAGTTGAAATGTATTACTTCTTGGCCACAATCTTGATAATACTTCAAAGGAAATATAAGACACAGAAAACAAATGCTTCTCTACAAATGATCAGTTTTCTTCTACAGTCACAAAAAGTCTAATTTCACCCACTTTCCACACACTAAATTTTTATTGCTTTATCCCTCTTCCCAATATTTCATGAGATAGCTATTTTATCCTTCATAACATTTGCTGGACCTTTATTTCCTTTCTCCCTGGACCGAATATTCTTTTCTAATGAGAAAACAGAGACTACGTCTTCTGATTTCCTCTCCAACATGCCATCTTTTAATCCATTAAACTATTTGTCTACAATGATCTCTTTGTTACTTTGATTACTCACGTCTCTCTTAAAAATTCCAGCATGTAACATATCTATATTTTACACTATCTAAAATCACTGAATTTTTTTAATAACCATCTAAATATCCTATTTATATTTAAATAATTGTTTGGATTTTCCTAATCAATCTTCAGCATTTAACCTCCTTATAATTAGTTTGGAAGAGCTCTACTACTACCACTCAGTTTAGTTTGCTAAGGCCCAAGTATTCTCAGTAGCTGGAATACCTGAGATGTTCCCTATAATACAACCAACTTGATGATCTGACAGTGGTTTGATCTGACTGCAAGGGGAAAAATAATGCAGTCAGGTAGCTAAGTGCCACATACTATCTTCTAAATATATGTTCTTGAACAAACTTATTATGAATGTTGAGAAATATTAATTTTGCCAGACTTTCAGGTCACCACATGTGAGAAGAGACTTGTGTAATTTGAGTAGCTCTTGAAAGGCACTACTTTCACCAGTAGCTTTAAGTTGTGGAGGCAGACTACTCTAATGGAAAGAAGACAGGATTTAAAATCAGAAGACCTGAATTCACTGACTTTTTGATCTTCAGCTTCCTTCTCTATAAAATGGGAATAATCCTATCTATAATTACAGTTTTGAGGAAAAAGTTAAAATATGAGTGTAAATTAAGCATAAAGGTCTTCTTACTGGTAATTATAAGAAGCAAATACCTTTACGTGAAAAACGACATCTGATGTCAATTATAGATAGTCTTTTGTGATTTAGTATAGTCTAGTTTAGTCAGATTATTATTCATGGAACAGCTTAAATTAGTAGGGAGAGGAGATATTTCAGAAGGCATGCCTAAGTGAGCATAACAGTGGAAACTCTAGCCTGTCAGCATCAAAAACCAAGTATCCACCTGGAAGCTAGAGGAACGCAGTGGAAGGAAAGGGGGACAAAGTAGATAAGGAGGGGGGTGGTGTTTTCAAAAAAGTTGCTCACTTCACAAATAAGCAGTAGTGTGGTGAGCAAATAAAACGAGTTTGAGAGTCAGAATGCTGGCTTTGAATCCTGACATATTTAAATGACCTTGGGGAAGTAAATATTTGTGAGGATATTATTTACTTCAGGAATAATTATAGTACCTAACCTAAAGGGTTGTTGTAAGGGCTAGACAACAGATGTAAATCATTTAGCACTGTGAGTAGCATACTGTAAATGCCCAATAAATGTTAACTTTTATTATTTATTTTTGCCAAATTAATATATTTCAGGAACATGATAAAAGACTGGACAAGACAGAAAAGACAATAATGTCAATGAAGCTTAATGGGAAAAAATATTTTTACATGGTATACTGTTACTTATTTTTTGTTATTGAAATTAAACACGCTATATAGATCTGAACAAAGAGCCCCAAATGAGAAGTTATAAGAACACCAAAAGTTAGTGAACTCAGATAATATAATTAAGGAATGTTTCTTCCAGTGTTCTTATGTTCTTTACCTCAAGACATAGTACAATAAAACGAGATGGCTTTGTTTCACACAGGTTTTAAATAATGACCTCATTCAGCCAGTTTTTCTCATGTCAACTGAGTGGAGCAGATCTTTACTTAACAGTCTTTCAGCATCAAAATCTTACTTAGGTTGCACTTATCCATATAATCCAGACCCACAGAAGCAGAAGTAACAGTTTGACATTAGAGAAAAAACCAGAAATTGGAAATGGAGAAAATGTGTTGCCCCATTCAGTGAAATCAGTACTGTTCAAGTCACTGGAGACTACACCAGTGACCAAGGTATGCTAACAGTGATATATAACATAAATCACAAGAGTTGAGACAAAAATAGAGACTTTATCCCTTTGATTCTGCTCTTTGTTAAAATAAAATGAATTCAGGTGTTTTCATAACAAAGCCAGAAAAAGCAACAAAAGAACTCCATGGGCCATTTACATGAAAAGCCATTATTTAACTTCATTTTGATTAAAAATTATTCTGAATAATCTCATCAAAAATGAAATAAATTAATAAATTCACATGAAATACAAATTCATCAAACTATTAAAATAGTTTAAAGGTAATCTTCCAAAATATTTTTATTGATTACAGTGTGATAATAATCTTAAGCTCTATCCAAGGGCTGGAGGAAGTCTTCAAACTCTTGATTTATTACTAAACTTTTTGAATAATCTACTGTAATTTATTAAGGATAAGTAGTGTTTAAAGCAAATAACAAAAATTTTAAATTTCTTCTGTAGAACTCAAAATAGTGTTTATAATTCTGGCACTGACAGACTGTATTCAATGGTTACATGCTATACTTATCAAATTGTACTAAAAACTTGTTATATATGATTTTGATTAGAAAATGATGTCAGCTGTGGCACATTCAAATTTTCATTATGTGGTTTTATAATAACTAAAAAAACATGGCTTAACTACAATTGAAAAATCTATAGTTAGAAACAGCTCTGGATTAAGAATATGAAAAGCTAATATCTAATTTACATACAGTATTTAAAGAGAACTACTTTGTCTCCATAATTACATCTTAAATATGTAATAAATACAAATAGATTTACAAGTCTTCTTTCTGACCTACTTTGAATCCTGAATACTAATACTATAAACAATTCAATGTTACACTGGTATCTGTGGTAACCCATAAGGAATTAAAATTAGTTGTAACAACTATAGTTAATTCTCAATTATTATTCTCTATTGTGGGAGGGTAGTAACAAAGATAATCCCCGAATAATTATTTTACTTTGGAACACAATATAAGTTTCTTTTTTCCCCCTCCTTTTCTTCTCTTTGGAATTTCTTCTCTCCATCAGATTTACTTTTATGATGTTTGAGTCAATTTATTAATTAATTTAGCACTTTATGGTCACAATGTTGATTGATTACAGCCAATGGTGTGCTAGTAAATGGTTTCATCAGGGGGGCAAAAAAACTGATTTGTAATGGTTGCCAATTTCTGTGGCACTAATACTCCTATCACAGCCACCTTCAATATCACAGAATGTTGGGTTGGGAAGAGATGTGCAAAATTAGATCTGTGATGCTGTAAAAGCAAGCTCCAGTATACCTCTGATGCAGCCATAAAGATTTTCCTAAGATCTGAACGCAAATCATAGAATCTGAGTATGCAAGATCTGACTGGTCTTCTGTTATTAAATCTCTCAAGATTTAAATTAAATTCAACATCTAATCAGCAGATTTTGTCTAACTGAGAATTTCTAGCAGAGTTAGATGGGATTAAAGATAGGTTGGAGGTTGGGAGGTAGACACTCTACTATGGGGAGAGACAATAGTGGCATTACTGTTAATTTGAAGCCTGAAAGCTAGATAGTTGGCTTGTAGGAGCTCGAAGGGATAGTGTTCCCAGTTCTTATTTTTAAGCACCGACTACTTAATGATTACAAAATAAAGCACTTATAAAATATCTGGAAATGGAACATCTGCCACTTCGTGCCTCAACATGGCTCAAACTTAAAAGGTAATTTTAAAAGGTAATTGTTGGTCACAAATTTCATGAGATTTACATATTGCAGATTAAATATAGGGCACAATTCTTTATTTATTTGCTTTGGGACTTAAAAGTTGAGCATGACTGACAAAATTAACATTTCCAAGTGTTCACCCTTTCCTAGGGATGCCCATTGAGTAATGCTGTATACATGGACAACAGAAGTCACAACTGATTCCAGTTTACTTCTCTAGATATTTTTAGATGTAATTTTTAAAAGCCAAACTTAAAGTTTAGTAAAAGAAACAAGAAACCAACTTGAAAGAGAAAAAGATAATAAAAAATAAATCTCTTAGTATTACTGAAAAATCTTTTCTAGTAAGATTTATTTTTTATTAAAAAATTCTTAATAGGAAACATAAATCAGTATTTAATCTACAAGATGTAGCCCATTTTTAAAAATCACAAATCTCTATTGACAGTGGCATAACAAGAATGGGATGGTGGAAGCTGTCCACCCCGAGTGCAGCAATAAGGTGCATGTCTGTATCAAATTCAAAACAATAATAAAACTGAAATAAGGTCAGTCTGCTTTTTATTTTTACCATTTACTGGCAATCTTAAACAATGACAAGGTAAAGTATTCCTCCCTTCCTTGACTGACTGTTTCTGCCATACACCCCCCTTTACCTCTATTTCACTGCCCTTGGTAAGCCACTCACTGTTAACACTAGGAAATTTAATTGATTAAATCTAACATAACTATAAAGTCAGCTATCTTTTTTTTTTTTTTTTTTGTCTTTTTGTCTTTTTCCATGTCCGGCAACAGATCGCAACCCTCAGTGTTGCCCCCGTACCGGACTGGGGACCGGCAACGGGACTGCAACCCTTGGCGTCGCTCCCGCGCCTCGCTCAGCCAGTGAGCGGGAACCGGTCTGTATGTGGGATCCAAACCCTCGGGCGGGAGCGCCGCCGCGCTTCCCAAGCGGCGCACTATCCAGTGCGCCACCAGGCCGGCCCCAAAATCAGCTATCTTTTACCAAGTGAAACATTTCAGCATTTCATGTAAAATTGTAATTCTAAGGTTAAATGATTCAGTGAAACTATAAAATATTATTTTGAAATTCCTAGAAAGTGATCCTTAAGTAAAAAACAAAACAAAACCTACTATTTCTTTTTAATTAAGTTGGAAAGTCAGGTTTTATACAATAAGCAAGTTCATTTAACATAGACCATTACAGGTGATCTCGTAGCCCCTGTCAGTACAGCCGACATATTCAAATACACAGTTAATATATAGTAATTACTGTTTTATTGAAGATAATGGAAAATATAAACTACATTTTTGGTTTCATCATTGAGGCTGTAAAATGAAATGAGAACTAGATTAACAAAATAGCAAATACTACAAGGACCTTGTGGTTTAATTATACCTCTGCGAAGTCTGAAAAGAGTGCTTGGCTTGTATTACGTCTCAATGTGTCCCAATAGCTTCTGGAGACAAGTTCCTCAGCATCTGTTTTAAGTACCTGTAGAAGTTTTAAGAGGCACAACTCAAATCTAAAGAATAGTCATGAAGAATGATAACTTACACACTTTAAATCTCTTCTAGCCAACTTTGAAAAGAAAACACATTAGCTTATCTTTTTTGTTTTCTGCTGCACTCAATGGTATTTTATTACACTGCTGGTAAACCCATGGTACTTTCAAAAGTATAATGGTATATAATCACTATTTCTAAGTACAATGCGGCTTTGTCAAAAAGAATCAAATTCTCCAATCCCTCCTTCACCCTTCTACTTAAACATGCATAACTTCTAAGAAAGTGTGAAATGAAAATTTTATTCATAACTTGTGTGAAGTATATTCATATGGAGAAGATTTTGCTAATTTTGTAGCAACTTGTTAAAAATCATCCTTCATTTAAAAATAATTATTTTTGGCTATCAAACATTTTATTAGAGTATCAAAGAATCAAAATGACCTTATCCATATTTTAGAGAAATAAAGTTTAAATTAATCCAAAGCTTGTCAAAAAGAAATATACCTGTTTAAGTCAAACCACTGGAAGCAGGGTACTTAGGGATTTGGTAGGTATGTGTATTCTGAACGGATAAGGTACTTTCTGATCTTTATTACAAGGATAGAACACTACCTTTTATCTCAATATTGGCAAGTTTGAGAAGGGAGATACCAAGATTATGAGGAGTAGATCATCCCATGGAAATGTCGAACTACAAGCCTAACTTGGATCTCTGTAAACAAAATAATTAAACAGTTTGTCAGGATTTATCAGGGATGATTTCACAGGTTATTAGACTTGGAGGTCTTCGGGTTATTGTGAGAAGAAAATGCTGCATGATGTATTTGGAAGTGACAGGCTGGTAATAAGAGAATTTTTCTTCTTAAAATTTTGTCCTAATTTTTAAAAGACTGGTGCCACTGATAAAATTATAGTGCATCTAGAATTATTTCAAAAATCTTCTAAATTTTAATTCACTATTAACTAAGGACCACTGCACACATTTTAATAAAATCTTAATAAAATGTTAATAATAAAGGATTATTTAGCAGCAACCACTTAGATAACAGACATAACTATTACCATAAGTATAAATAAAGCAACATGACAGAGATTCTGCTCATCACTCCCTTTAGTAACTAAATAAATTTTAAGTAAGCAGTTATAAACTGAACACATAAAATTAGTTAAATAGAACTAATGTAGTTCATCTTTTTATACAGGTATGTAATAATCTCAATAACTACTAGCTAGATTAAATGTTTACTCTGCAAATATTATCTATATATTTTGAATGTGGATGAATGTTTTAATGGTAACTTAGAAGGTTAATGCTTGATAGAGAAAGAGACTGTTAAACCTACCAAACTATAAAATAAGGCTTACTGTGCACTATTACTAGAGAGTAATAGGAATGATTTGCTTTGTGAAAACATGCCTCTTCCCCACTTCAAGCACTGGTCCCCAGCACATACATACACACACACGTTATAAAAATATTTACAACATATTAAGAGATAAAATTAGTTTAACAAACCATATGTTTTCTGAGCATAGAAAAAAAGTAAAATATATTAAAATATACTGATTATCTCTGGTGGGGTTAGGATATTTCTTATTTTTCTTTTTGCTCTCCCATATTTTAAAAAATTTAAACAATTTAAAATTTTTAAAAAATTTAAAAAATATCTATTATCAGTATAATATACAACTTTTTAAATTAAAAAAATCTTATATAGAACATAACAGCTTAATAAATCCCCTCTTGCAGAAAGCTTTCATCATTTACCTCGAGAGTAAATTGTGCTAGAATATCTGAATTGCTATAACTGGATATATTTGTTTTTGTTTTACCTTATAGCATCTTTTAAATTATAGTTTCAAAGATAAGGAACTATATCCTTACAGCAACTACTACTGCAGGAGAAAATACCTAATGGATTGATGATATGCCAGGTATACTCAACTGACTCCTTGTGTCTGTTCTGCAGCCAATATTTAATTTTTTAGACAATAACTTGGCTGATGAAATTAAGAGTAAATTTTTCAGAACATGAAAAACTAGTAGGAAGTTTTAACTCCAGAAAAATATAATACAATGGGATATTTAAAATAAGCTTGAAGTAGCCATGAAAATCAGACTAGATTTTAATAGCAAGAAATGCAAAGCAAATACAAAACCAGAATATATGCATACAGGCTAGGGAAAGACTGATGGGGGGAAATGCCCAATGTAAGTGAGCATGAAGATGGTTGTGAAACAGATAGTTATGATGCTTTGACATGTAAATAGGAGGGCAATTTGCAAAGACTTCCTTAAGTCTTCTCAGTATCTTTGATTACTATCTGGGCTTTAGGTCCCTTTAGTAGAGCATCATGTTAAGTGTAGACCTTCATTTCAAAGAGATAACAGATAGTTCAGAAGAACTTCAGAAATGGATGGCACAGGCAATATAATGTCCTGAATACATCGTACCCTGTAAATCTGATGTATTTTTGCCTAGGTTCAGTGTCTGTTATTGGTAGGAGTTCCTTAAACTTGTTTTGGTCAAGAGGGAGGGAGGGAGAGAGGGAGGGAGGGAGGAAGGAACGAAGGAAAGAAGGAAGGAAGGAAGGAGACTGATGTAGAGATGGTAATATATCACTGTGGCAAGCAGAATAATGGCTCCCTAGAGTCGTTCATGTCCAGACAGGTAAATACCATATATATTTTGTGGGTATAAGATTACGAGATTTAGGAAGAGGTGACATGAAAGAATTATGTGAGTAAAAAATGGGAAATATGTAGGTAATCCTAAATAAACATTGATGGTATATATTTTAAAAGTCTAATTTGTGGTATCAGAAAAAAAAAGGACAGGCAACACTGTACAACAATTTCAAGTACTCATGCCTGGAAAAGAATGAAAGATATTAAAGCATTTTAAGACTCTAATTTTGAGGAATCGAGTAAAGACATTGCCTAACATATGACTTTTATTTTAATTAATAAATATTTAACTATAATTATTAACATTTCAAGAATAACAGCACAAAGAATAGAAATGTAGTAAATGGCTTCTAAACTAAAATAGAGGAGAATAAAAAGAGTAAAAATAAACTTAATTCAAAAGGCAGGAAAGGAGAAAAGAACAGTATATAGAATAAAATGATTAAAGTAAATTCAAAGCAATTAGTAAATACAGTAATATAAATTGACTGAATTATCCAATTAAAAAGCATAGATTGTCAACCCAGATAAAAAGAAGCCAGTACAATTCACAAAATATGCTGTTAAGAAAGACATGCCTAACAAATAAAAAAGGAGAGGTTAAAAAAGGTATAAAAGGCTTCTATTAATGATAGGCTAGAAATTAGCACCAATCTTCTCACTGAAAAAAACTGAAAATGCTGGACAAATGTAAAATAGATACTTGTGTCTCTACTTAAAAGCATCTTAAAGACATTATTTGCCTTTGGCACTGTGTTGACATTTGCACTAATGGTGCAAAAGCCATGGTGGACAAGACGCTGGTGCCTGAGTACAAATGAGGCAGTGTCACCAAAGACCAAAGCCATTACATTCTTCAGTAGTCATTACATTCTTTAGTGACACACACTTGCAGTAAAAAAAAAAAAAAAAAAAATCCACTTAAGATGTACTTGCTGAAGAATAAAACCTACAATTTTGTTAAACTGACCTTTGAGTACACATCTTTTTAATACTTGCTGTGATGAATGGGAAGTATGCATACAGCACTTCTGCTACATACCGAAGTACTATGGTTGTCTTGAGAAAGAACATCTGTGTGATGGTTTGTGTTGCAAGCTGAACTAGCCTCTTTGTTCATGGACCACCATTTTTACTCAAAAGAACAACTGACAGACAAACTATGGTTATTCAGACTTCAGTATTTGGCAGACATTTTTTGAAAATAAACCAAGTGAGCCTGTCACTTCGAAGTAAACAACTGATAGTATTTGTTGCCAAAATAACATATTATAACAGATTTAATGCAAAAACAGCTATGAGAAAACAGCTGTCTTCTATCAAGGCAGACATCAAAGAGATTAGCAAAGAATAAAAAACAACAATAAAAGTAAAATAACACCACTCTCCTCACTACATTTTTGAAGTTATTTTTCATAAAAATGTTTGTTATATGTAATGAGTATTTTTATCATTATTTTGAAATGGATTAATAAATATTTTTAAATTCCCAGCTTTAATTTCTAATATGGTAACTGTAGATCGATGTAACCCAAATAAACAAAATCTCTTGTTTCACATATATATGTAAAGGGATCACAAGACCAAAATGATTGAGAACCACTGCTTACAGCAAAAACAGTGAATGAACAAGCACCTACAACAATGCAGCTGAAACTGACAATCATGATGTTGAGCCAGAGAAGCAAGACAGTAAAAATTCGTATAATATGATGCCATTTATATGAAGTACAAAAATGGGTGAAACTACACTATATTGTTTAGGATGCATATGTAGGGGATAAAACAACAAACCAAAGCAAAGAAGTGATTTACATAAAAGTAATGCTTGTGGTTATCTTTCAGGGCACAGTGAGGGATCATGATTGGAAACACATATGAGTGAGCTTCTTGGGGTATGGAAAAAGTTTATTTCTTGATCTATATGCTGGTTAAATTTTATAATTATTTTATGTTTACATTTTATTTGCAGTATATTTCTATTTCTGAACTTAAAATATATTTTAAAAATCAGGGAAAGCTTCATCATAACTATAGGAAAAAAAAAAAAAAGAAAATAAGAAAGCCAAAAATAGAAAATAATTCAAAGTACTAATCAAAATAAAGGTGGTATATTTATTCTGATAACTAAAAGATTTTAAGGCAAAAAACATTTCTAGAGCTCTAAGGATAGTACACAATAGAAGATTCAGTTAACTAAGAAGATATAGATAATCTATATTCTTATGGAGATAATAATGCATCAAAATATTTAAAACAAAAATTAAGAGACTGTAAGAAGTTGTTTACAAATCTATCATTATAATGTATAATTTAACGTAATAATTGACAGATCAAGCAGACAAAAACAGTAATGACAGAGATGATTTAAAATACATAATTAACATGCTTGGTTTTACACACACACACACACACACAGACACACACACCCCCCAACCCTGTACCTGAAATTGGAGAATACACATTCTCTTCAAGTACAGATCATTTATGAATATTGACGTTGTTTTAGTACATAAACAAGTCTCATCACATGTCAAAGAATTGGTATAAAAATTAATATATTTTCTGATGGCAACTAAGAATAATCTTTAAAAAAAATCATATAAGGAATGCCAAAGTCAAATATATCTGACTTTTGTATTTATTCTTTTGAATTTTTTATACCTCTTTTCATTACTGTGGGAAGATAATCAAGAGTTCACTATGAAATATTAAAAGAATCAGGGTTATTTGGAACATAAAAGGCTATAAGGTAACAACTATCTTCATTGATATAAATGAGTATGATCAATTTTGCACTGTAGCAGAAAATAATTTGATTGAATATAGGCAGAATCTATCATGAGTGATTAAATTTTGGAACAGGCTATTACAAAGGTCACAAAATCTCCATCTACAGTGAAAGCCAAGAGGGCCATTGCCTTTCCTGAAGGAACTTCTTCCTAAAGGTAGAAACTGGCTATTATAAATCTCTTAGGTTATATTTAGCTCAATGATTTGCACTCAGATGAGATAGTTGGTCACTCCAGTTTATCTGCAACTTTGGAAACTAGCAGATAATTGTCAGCTAATTCAAAACATTATACTATTTGTGTAATACTTGCATCAATGATATTTCCTATATATTTTCAGGCTGTCTAAATTTTTTCTAATTCTAAATAAATTTTCCTTGTTTGTTTGCAATTCTTGAAAATAGTCATTCCTTTCTGAGCAAAAATTTTCCTACTATAGGAAGAAAAGTTATTTTATATAACCAACTCACTGCTAAGGAAGTTGAAAAATCACGTAATCCATTTAAGACTGTGGATAAAAATGACATCGAGTTACATCACTTTAACATATGCATTTAACCTATGGGGAAAAAGCTGTCCAGTAAAACTGAAAATAGAAAACTATATATTACCACAATAAAATGTAAAATCATAAATTTACTTTCCTATTAACTAAACAAGCATAATGTAAATAAAATATGCAATTTAAATCTGCTGCTCACTCTTATTCTCTTAATGTCTGAGTGACTGTGATTTGTATATGTAGTTTAAACTAGAACTATATTAGGATCTATTACCTTTTAACAATATTATCCTGAGATGCATTTTTTTAAAAAACACAATTATCCTAAATAAAAATTATTTATGAGAGTAAAGGAAAAATAAAAATTGTCACAGTTAGAAAAATGGGTCATACAATGATGACATATTAGATCAGAAAAATAAGTCATAAAGTCATAAGTATTATCAACATTTACTAAGTTTCACAGTGCATATGGCATTATCATCTGTGAGATTTTCATCTTACACATTCTTACAAATTTTGGAAATGATTAACAGAGGAATCCTTTAAATTTTTTAAGAAAATGACAGACTTTAATGAATAACAGTATTGAATCTGGAGAAAAATTTTAAATTATCTTGTAAGAGAGAAAAACAATTAGTCAATTATATGGGTCCCATTGACTTGGTTTGTCCCCCCACCCACTCTAAGTCCATTCCTATGACTACACAAAGTATCCTGGGTTTACTTTATGCTGAATCCGCCTCCAGAATATGTTCACATCTAGAACAAGAGTTAGCTTTTATAGTTTGGAATTTTGATTAAATATTCAGTACAGGAGGCAATACACCTTTAGAACTGTACACTACAACTAGAACACTTTCTGCTGGATAATATTGAGTCAGTCACCCTGAATTCAAGGGCTTCTCAGGTGGAATTTCTACAATTTGAGGGACCCACTTAAATTACTTAAGTATTCCTGGGGCAATTAAATGAACTGTGCATATTTATACTCAAAAAGGGCCACGGCCAATTCTTAGTTATTTAGTAACTGAGCTAACCAACAAGCTCTGATTTTCTCAAGAGAAAAGAAAGAAGAAGAAAGCTCAGCATAAGAAGAATACATTTGGAAGTTCATTTACAGGAACTTCCAACTTTTCAAGACAATAGTCTGAAAATCATAATCCTCTTCGAGAAATAACATGATACACTAATACATTAAACATGTCAAGGAGCACCTTATACCAGATTTTTGTACAGACCAGAGGAAGTAAGCAGACAACAAAGGTTTTAGAAAAAAATTGTGAGAAATACTAAAAACTAATAAAAGTCTATCCATTCATATAAAAGACTATATATCAGATGAATGGATCTAGTTCTCAAAATACCTGTGTTCTGCAGAAGCATAGGCTGAGAATCTGCTTTATAATTTGTATATAGCTCTTCAAATACTGCTGAAAAATATAAAATTTCAATTATCCTAGCAGAGTTTTTGGTGGTTGTTGTTCATTGACCTTTCCCTTATTTTAATCTAAAGTTAAAGATATACAATGACTCTGTACATTTTAGTCTTCTCCTAAATCTAGGAAAGAAATGTAAAATTTTGGCTTGATTGTACCTTATTATATTTAATAAATTTCAAAACATTCTGAATAGCAGATAATAGCTTTATAAAAAGAAATAACATTATCAAGTATAACAGGTGAGGGCTATATACATAAAGAACATTTAAAGTGTTGTACATACACTATTAGTAGGAGAATGGTATCCATAAAGTTGAAGACGCTGACATAGAGCACAAAGGGCCAAATGAAGTGTCACATTTCAGAATGAACCCAAGTATAGCAAAAGAAAAAAAGAAAAAAGATGACAAAATAATCAATTAGGAAGGGTAAATCATTATGCTACATTCTATTTAGAGCACACACACAATACAAGTGGGATAAATGTTAAAGATGAGTAGCAAAGTTTTTAAAATCTCATATAATTAAACATTAAATGAGTTTGTGCTTGTTTCAACCATTTCATTATAACCTTCTCCTAGAACTATTACTTTGAGTAAAACACAACCCTCTCAAGTACGCAGTTTTATTTAGACACACTTCAGCAATTCTCCATGGGACGGGGGGAAAATCTAGATGTAGCAGCATGGCAGTGGAAATGGTATAAGAGACCTGCACTGGAATTCTGCTCTGCTATTACCAGTACTGTTACATTAGGCAAGTTAATCAACCTCTCTGAAACGGTTTTCTCAGCTGTAAAACAGATATAATACTTACCTGGGAGAACTGCAATAAGGACTAAATGGGAGTAACATTTATAATGAACATAGCACAGAGTTTAGCACATAATGTGTACAAGAAATGTTATGTTCATTTCCCTCTTTCCTTCTGAAGCATAGCTAGTTTTATTTTGATATGTAAGCATTTTTAAATTTAGTTTTTACTTAATTTTGATTGGGTATGTTAATATTCAATTTAAATTAGCTATGTGGTTCTACTAATTAAAGGAGAACTTTAAGTTTTACTATTAGCTAGCCTTTTTGAGTGTTTCTTATATTTCACATACTGTTAACTGGTTGTGTGTTTTAGTTCATTTAACCCCCATAACAATCACACATGGTCATTACTCCTATTACCTCCATTGTACAAATGAAAAAAACTGAAGAATAGAGAGGCTAATGAGCTTATTCAAGGTTACCCAGGTAATAAGTGGCAGGGCTAATATTCAAACCCCCAAATCTGGCTCCTAAACCTATTCTATACTGTCTCTCTGAAGTAACCCATATGTTTTCACAAAAAGCTAAATTTTAACTGTTTCAAAAGTCAACCAAGGGCCGGCCCGGTGGCGCACTGGATAGTGCGCCGCTTGGGAAGCGCAGCGGCGCTCCCACCCGAGGGTTCGGATCCCACATACAGACCGGTTCCCGCTCACTGGCTGAGCGAGGAGCGGGAGCAACACCGAGGGTTGCAATCCCGTTGCCGGTCCCCGGTCCGGTACGGGGGCAACACTGAGGGTTGCGATCCGTTGCCAGACACGGAAAAAAGACAAAAGACAAAAAAAAAAAAAAAAGTCAACCAAAACGTTCTAAGAATATGTACAATCATATCGTCATTTCTATCACCTTGACAACACCATCTTTTATTCTACATAATCTTCTATAACTAAAGTAGTATAAAATAAAATCTCATCAGTTCAGATTTGCATTCTTTAAAATGTGATTGTTAACAATAAGTTAATAATTATTATTATTGTTTAATATACTAATGAATATTTGTAGAGGGCTGTAGTGTCAGAGAGCATTGTTAGTTCTGAGGCTGTACTAAAGATTATTTCTGAATTGTTATAAGAAATAATTCTGATGGCTAAATTACGTAAATGAGATTTCAGAAGCAGTATTTAAATTACATAGGATAAACACCTCTGAGGTACCTGTGGAGATCAATGCACTTTAGTAAACATTCCTTTACTTATAAACAAGTTATATATTGCTTATAACTTATTTTTATTTTGTTCTTTAAAATAAGTCCTTCCCCATATATCTGCTAGGAAATGCTTCATTGACCTATATGCATATAAAAAATAAACTTTAGGGTATGCTGGTATAATTTAGATTTCATAATTCAGATGGACTTTTCCTAATTAATTCAAGTGAATGAGGTTTTACTACATCACTATTATGAAATATTTGCATTAAATTTCCTTTACCTTGGCTGCAGTGAAGCTCAGAGCCAAGTTTTGTAGCTTTTCCCAGTGTGCATTGTCTGCTATTATTTTTGCCTTTCTTCTCTCCCTCTGATACTTGATATAAGTATTTTAGTAAATGTTAATAATTAGAATAGTATTTTATTTTTACTGGAAGATCCATAAGTCCTCTCTGGAAGTAGTATAAATAAACAAATAAATAAAACAATTAAATCTCTATCCGTTGGAATAGTATCTACTTTATCACAAAGGTATATTAACAAATTTATTAACATAATTCAGTTTTCTTAAATGGTATATTATTAACAACTTGCCTATTCAGTCAATTATAGTTAGAGGTAATCAATAAAAACACTTAAAATAAGTGTTTACTCTTTCAATATATTACCTACAGGAAATAAAATTTAAGAAAATTTAATCCTCTAGTCTTCTTTGCTAATACTCTAAACACATAGGATTTATTAAGTACAATTTGAAAACCATGAAACCTGAATTAAATAGAGAACTACTAATACCCCTTTTGATACTTAGCTAACATTATGCTCAGCTCTGATTTTTTTGAGTGTCTTCCATAAGCTTTGTCAATAGTATATTCAGGGAGGCTGAACAACTACTGATAATTATATCATAGTCAAATACCCTACAGAGCAATGTGTTTCATAATCCTAATAATCTGCTTTTATTTAACTAAATATAAATACATATTTCATAAATATATTGGGATTGAATATAGTACCATCTGCTATAGATAACCCGTATTTAAAAAAAACCTAATATGCATTCATATAACAATGAGAATAATAAAAAATGTCGCAACTCTCTGGTTAATTATTTGAATTCCATTTAGAGCAATTAAACTACTGCATATGGCCACTAGTTTGAAAATGAAATAATTATCATTTACATGCCAACAAAATTCACTGTTTCTGGTATCTAAGTACCAGATGAAGAAATATGGTATAGTGGATAAAAATGCAAGTTTTGGAGCTGCCAGACATGGATTCAAATCTTGGCTTTGTCATTTAATAGCTATGTAACTTTGAAAAAGATACCTAACCTTTCCAATTATCAGTTTTCTTATCTATAATTACAGAAAATAAGAGAATTGTTGGGTAGATTAAATGAGAAAATGCATGCAAAGTACTTAGTGTAGTGCCTAATAGAAGGTCTTAGTACCTGTTTGTTACCTGTTTGTTATTTTTATTCTGTGAACCTGGCCTGTTGTCAGGGTGAAATAGTTGGAAAAAACAAAAAGAGAATTGGTAGGAAGATGGAAGGAAATGTTGCTTAATTCTAACTTCAGAATAACACGAAAAATACAAAGGGTCTTTAAAAAGTTCGTGAACAGATTTGTATGATCTTTCAATTCCATTTTTCCATGAACTTTTTGAAGTAGCCTTGTATTATGTATACCAGAAGAAGAATCTATAATACATATTTTTAAGAATGCAAAAAACATATTATTCCCTCATATTTTCTTCAACATTCATATTGTTACATTACCACTAAATTCACTCACATCATAATTAAATCTTTGCAATTCACCTTTAAATTTTTACATGCATAATGATCTGTTTTAATCTAGTATATGATATACCCTTCAAATCTCACAGATAACAATATGGATGAAAATGATTTAATGAATGTGATTATGGATACAGATGTTTAATATCAATATTTAATATAAATATTGATATTGATGCATATAAATACTGAAGCAATTTTTCTACATAAAAACTTTAGAAAAATTTCAAGAAAGGGACAGCTTCAACATTAAAAACTTTCATTACTGTTTCTCATCATGAATAAAATAATTCTTATCTAGAAAACCCACCTGAAACTAATATAAAATAGTCTTACCAGCATTGCACGCTTTTCCTCATCTCCTTTAGTTTCTCTCTTCTCATTTTTTTTCCTGAATATCTCTTGAAGCTGAAAAGGAAATCAATCAAGAGTCAAATATCCAGCAAGAGTTTCCAGGCACCTACCTACCACTCAGTGCTAGGTATAATCTAAAAACAACGAAAATGGTTAGCTTCATCCATCAAAAACATGTAAACTACTGTAGATACATTTTCTGATTTCATTTTTTTCCCAAGAAAAAGAAAATACATCCTTCGGTATTGGCAACCCATAGTTAAGTTAAATGCACTTAATGTTACAGTTTTACTTTATCTCTAGGACACAAAGACATGGAGTCTGAGGCACATACATAAAAAGAGATGAAGCCTATTGGGGTATAAAGAACACTGCGATACAACTCAGGGACTTTGGGTTTGAGTCCAGCTTCTATCACACATTAATTTTATGACAGTGGACAAGTCACTCAACCCTCACCTGGCTCGAATTTGTTCATATATGAAATGAGAATGGACTAGATGACCTCTAAGGTCTCTTTCAGGTAACCAAGCCTGGTGGTGGGAGCACAGACTCCGTAGGTATAATACCTTGCACAAGTTATTCTAATTATCTAAGGCTTGTTTTCCATATCTGGAACATGGGGATAATTCTTTACCTTATAGGAATGTTGTGCCGAGTAAACAGTACAAGTAATTACTTAGCACATTGCTTTTCACACAGTAAGTTCTCAATGTTAGCTATTACTATTATCATAAATAGTATTATTTCCTCTTTAAAATCCTACAACTTTACAAATGGAAGCCTAATCCTACCTCTATAAGAGTTTTCTGGAGAGTTCACTGTTCTTGTCTGTATAATTCGAACAGCTATCTCAACTCTTCATTTATATAGCAATAGTTGAAAGTCAAATAAAATACATTACACCTCCCAAGATATATAATAACATTTAAAAACACAGTACAAAATACAAATAATTTTATCATCACAGAAAATTATTTCCACACTTTTTTTTTTTTTTAGTGAATAGAATTGTTAATAATCATTTTATAAAACTTTAGGCAGGAGAATCATAGATTTTAGCCTTCTACAAATAACTTAGCCTAACTCCACCTCCTGCTTTCAGGAACTCTTAAAAATAAACAAACAAACATCACATATGAGGCAGCAGTACAGGAACTTTAAAAAGCAGACCACAGCTTTAAAGTAAGGGCAGCTTTTGCAAGAGTGTAAAGTGGGAAAAAATAGTAGTTCTGTATGAATGTTTTTACCTCCTATCTCCACAAACAGACTTCATTCCAAAAGACATCTACACAGGCAACATCCAATGGACTGAATTTCAAAAGTTAATCTTTAAATCAGTGGGCAACTTGGCAGTATAGACATAGAAAGTTTATTCAAAATTAGTCAGATTAAACTGGCTGATTTTGAAAGTTCCTAAAATACAGGGATGTACTACCATAACAAAACTACGTTAAACTAAACTTGTCCATTTTAGGATGGTAGAAACATATCTATTGCAATGAAATTGAAAACTTCCACCTCCCCACCATTCTGCAAAGCACTAGAATGAAGGTTTCAGTTCCCGTGTCTTGGTCAGGGACTGCACATAGGTTAGGGCTATGGGAATATTAGTTTAAGCTTTTTGATAAATCTCAATAATTAGTCTGCTTGTCTCCCTGTGGATGGCTACTAATTAGCTACTGATGAGGATTTTTATCTCTTCTCTTTCCTATCACAGATAAGAATGATTTCGACCTCTGATCAAGATGGCAGAATAGATGGTATGCAGCCTCACCCTCTCTCACAATTAATCAAATTACAACTATCAAAAAGCAACGTACTGCTAAGCTGGGGCTGCGGGAGCTCAGGGGAAGAAGAAGAGAGACCTATGGAGTACATGAAGGCAGGAGAATCCACAATGAGAAGAAGAATGGACTGCTCCGACTGTTTTGAGCCTTGGCCATTTCAAGGCTGGCCCTGGTGAGCACATGGAGCAAGGCCTGCAAAAGCCACAGCTGTGCTCTTTGTATGAAGTTGCTTGGAGGCTGCAAGGTAGAAGAGGGCCTTGGTGGCCCCTAGGCCAGCAAGACCACTAGCAAGGTTCCTGTGGACCCACACAGACAATTGAAAAAAGGAGCCATGCAGAGGATGGTGAGTCACTGCAAGGGACTGGCCCATGGCCTGACCCATGGGTAGTGTTTGGTGGTGGGCGAGACAGGCCCACCAGGGGAACACTGGGGCACAGCATGGACAGCTGATGTGCCCTCTAATCAGCACAGGACCACTCAGCGGAGACTGGTCAGGAATATAGAACTGCAGGGGGTGCAGTTTGCTGAAAAGACTCAGGCCCAGACGAGTTTCCACACAACCCAGGTGTACGGGACCTCACAAGACCCAAAGTGCTTAAAGGTCAACAATTAAACCGTGAGCTGCACAAAAAGCCTTCCCCAGAGAATCAGCAACAAAGCAGCAATTTAGCTCAACTAGAGGGCTCAAATGCTGGTTCCCACAGGAAGTTCCGACATTTTAGAAGTAACCAAAGGACAACAAATTAGTTCCAGTGCAGAGTTTAAGTGGTGGGAATAGCAAATAATCCAACAAAGAACTGAAAGAAAAAACAAAAAACCCCAGATCAGGGACAAAGTTCTGATATTAACCAGTAAAGGTCTAACACCCTCAAAGAATACCTATAAAACCTAGAAGGACTGGAACCCCCTTAAGCTCCCATGCTGGGGTGTGGGGAGGGCCGAGGGCCTCAGCCATGCATCCCTGATGTCTGCATCCAGCCCAGGGATGACCATCAGGCTGCCAATGGAAGCACCTTGGGCTCTCAAGCCAGGGTAGGGGAATCCTGAGGGTCTTAGCCATGCCCTCTCCAACATCTGCATCAAGCTCAGTGATGACCACTGAGCTGCTGCCAGAATTGCCCCAGGCCTCCAAGCTGGGGCGATGGGGGCCAGGAGCAACAACCACATTCAGCCCAGCAATGACTTCCAGGCCACTGCTAGAAGCGCCCTGGGCTCCTGGGTTGGGGTGGGGCCAAGGGCCTCAGCCATGCCCCCTGAAGTCCACATCCTGCCAAGCCATGACCAAGCTGCAGCCAGAAGCCCCCTGGGCTCCCCTGTGGGAATGAGGGGGATGCCATGGGCCTTGACCACACCCTTCCCTTCCTCCCAACCCATCCCCTTTCCCCCTTTCATCCCCCTCCCCCAAGCATGCTGCAACATCTTAGAATGTAAAAAATAATAATGCATAAATAAATAAGTAAAAGGGGCTGGCCCAGTGGTGCACTCGGTAGAGTGCGGCACTTGGGAGTGCGTTGGCGCTCCCGCCAAGGGTTCGGATCCCATATAGAGACCGGTCCACTCACTGGCTGAGTGCGGTGCGGGCGCGACACCGAGGGTTGCGATCCCGTTGCCGGTCCTGGTAAGGGCACGACACCGAGGGTTGTGATCCCCTTACTGGTCACGAAAAAAGACAAAAAGGAAAAAATAAATAAATAAAAATAAATAAATAAATAAAAGAATGATTTCATAGATTTCTTCCATGTTCCAGCCTCTGAAGTAAATACAAGGTTTTTCAGGAGGTTTTCTGAGGAATTTTTAATGGCTACATTACAAGGGTAAAATAGAAAATAAAGTGACTATTTATGTGCCAATCTTTCCCCTTTCTGTTTACCAGGAGAGTATGGGTAAAGTCAGAGACGAACATAAATGCTAAGGGTAGACCTTGCTATGCTAAGGAATAAGTTAATGTTAATTCCTATTTCAGAGAAAAAACAGAATAGGCATTTTGCCACAGAAACAGATGCAGGATAGATGAATAAAAAGAAAGAAAAATTCTGGAAGAGGGGGTGGGAAGATGAGTGAGCAGTTGAAGACACTGTCAGACCAGCATCAAGCTGGACCGGCCAGGTGAGAAAGGTTGAAGGATAAATACCTAAAAATTATCAGCCCTTGGTCAAAGACAGGATAAAGGAACAGAGAAGTAGGGACAAAAACAAGGTAGTAGTGAGTGGAAGAGAAAAACAAAAAGAAAAATCATAGATCATATATTGAGAAGGAAGAGAAATTTCTATGAAAAGAGTTGTGACTGAGTGGCTGGGATGATGGGCACTGAATAGTAACTATTAACCGAACATAATACAATCTCAGAATTGCCTGTTACTCAATATGATAACATTTCAAACTTCCAGGTAATATATAAACAACTATAATTATCCTAAATACTAAATATAATGTATATTTTTATAACATAAATGTTAATCAAAATACATGAGTATATACTTCTATATTAAATTAAGGTGAAAGCATAGATATTTCACTCTTTCCTCTACACTAATATTCCCAATAATGTAGAAGCATAAAAATATAAGTAAGCAATATTTAATTACTGATAAAATACAGGATATAATATACATACCACCAAAAACTCCTTTTTATCTACCATCTCATTGCCATCAGTGTCAAACATGTTGAAAGCTATTCTAAAACCTGCATGTGGCTCTGCCAGAAAAAACAGAGAAAGTATTCATGAAATGGAAAAATGTGTTTTAAAGCACAAAATCCATATCAGTTGTAAACAGTTACTCATATTCTATACAGAAATATTTTATTTAACCAAGAAATCGAAAGCAACATGTTATCATTAGTTAAATATAATCAAAGCTATATAGAAGCATACATATTTTTGCTTCATATATTATTAGCACACTTAATAACAGAATTGATAATACACTTTAAAAGTAATTGTATGATACACGTTGTATAGTATTGAAAGAAAACTTTGACTACTTTCCTTCTAAAAATAAGCATTTCTCTTTCTTATCCAAGGTCTGTCAGTTTATTTAAAAGGAAAATATCAGGTCATCATCACATTTGAAATATTTTTACTATGTTCAACTACTTAGAGTGACAGAAAAAAATAAAAATATGACACAATGGACCAGTCCCAATTCTTGGGAAATTATAACTAGGATGACCTATGAAAATAAATGTCAAGAATGAGATAGATATTTGGGTTTAAACTTCTAGAGGCCACAAAAACAGAAATAAAAAAGAGGCTTGAATACAAAATTCTAAATTTTCCCCAAATACAAAGGACAATTTATTTTCCTAGATAGACTTTCACATACTATAAACTGTTTTAACTTTATGAACCTTAAAATGAGGTTCAATATCTGTCCTCTTTTTACTTCTACAGTATAAAGAAGAAAACTTGGACAGAAGAAAACCTGAAAGCGTCCTTCAAAAAGGAGCTCAGTGAACACGCCATTCTCAAAACTTTGACCTTTTCTTTTGAGATGACTTGCAAAAAGTTTCAAAAGGGACCCCCCACAAATACACTTGCTATTACCTGTTGTGAAATTTCCAACCTGGCAAAAGAGAAGCATACATCCCTACTTTCTTAACTGGTAATATCTGTCTCTGAAAATAACAGAAATGAAAGCCAGTCCTTTATGCAAGCTTGTTTCTTGTATGTATTTTAAGAATCTAAACTTGATTTCATGACCATCACTTGAGAAATAAATAAAAATTCACACTATCCCTAATAACCATGTTTTAAGCTGTAAGAAGATCTTGAAAATACATATAGAAAGGAAGTCCTTACAACCTGTTTGGAAGGGAAAATAAACTTAAAATGATAAAAAATAGAGGAGACACAGCCAAGTAACAAAGGTTATGTAGCCCACTTCCTGCCGGCACTCTTTTCACATTTTTCTTAGTTTTAATCTAAACAACATACCATAATTTTTCAATTCAAACTCCTTTGAAGTTTCTATAGATGGGTCCCGAACTCTAAAGGAAGTTTCACAGCACCCAAAGATTTCAATCTTTCTGTAGTAAGCAAAAACCACTACATATGTGTTTTCCTACACCTTTAAAACCACACCCTGTCCCATCACGCCAAGTGGCTTTCCTAACCAGCACTATTCTTATTCTTACCTATCACTCTGCTGGTTTATCTTGTCTATCACTCTTTGGATGCAAACTTCTAACTTTGCATCCAAAGTTATTCTAGCTAACAAGATAACTTTTCAACAAGTGCTTGAGACACTCTGGCACCCACCCTGGTTCTCATGTTAACATTCATCATTGACTGGACTTGCAAATCACTATGGCTTTCTAGACTGGATCAACCTTAGCTAGCCTTATCACCAACTTCACAATACTTGTTGTTCTCCAGCCCTAATATTTTAATTTAATTTTAAGTCCAGGAGAAAAAAAACCCAAGAAAAAGATAAGACAATTTTTGAAACACACGTGTGTCCATGAACACATCCTTCCTAAACTTCCTACAACAAAACTTGATTTAACATCATTCATTACTAAGTTAAGAATAACACAGTGGTGTGAATTTTCTAATTACAGAAGTAAAAGGTATTTTAAGACTTGTTTCTAATGACAGAGTTTTATTGATGTTCTTGTTTCCATACATCTCCCCAAATCCCCACAACTGAAAATTCGACTAGTGAAATTCTTTCATTTCTCTCTTTCTTCATTCATTCACCAACTATTTTTTGAGGGTACCATGTGCAAGATACTGTTCTTGATACAGAGACCGACAAAAAAGAAAATGTCATCATGAACCTTGCATTCTAGAGTGGTGAGACAGACTGGAAAGAGCATGTAAACGAATAATACTTTCAAACAGTTGAAGGGCTATGAAGAAAACAAAACATGGTAAAGGAATAAAAAGGGAGAGATGGGAGAGGGAGCTACTATAGAAAGGACGGTCAAGGGCCGGCCCGGTGGCGCACTGCGCTAGTGCGCCGCTTGGGAAGCGCGGCTGCGCTCCCGCCGAGGGTTCGGATCCCACATACAGACCGGTTCCCGCTCACTGGCTGAGCGAGGCACGGGGGCAACACCGGGGGTTGCGATCCTGTTGCTGGTCCCGGTCCGGTACGGGGGCAACACTGAGGGTTGCAATCTGTGGCCGGACATGGAAAAAGACAAAAAAAAAAAAAAAAAAAAAAAAAAAAAAAAGGA